CACACACACCCAATTCTCGCAAGGATATACAATCTTTAGGAAGGGTGTATAACAATGCATTGGCAGGGACGATCCAACCCAAGAATAGTATAGTAACCCTCAGCCTCGATACCATGTGAGCGAATAGTGGTTTGGTCCTCGCAAGGCACCAACCCCACTACGAGTGGTAGGAAACCTTCAAACCCACACGGAGTAAGCAACGCATCTACACCACTCTACGATACCCGATTAACGGCCGCCCATGGTCATCCAAACATCCACAAGAGATACAATACAACCTAATTCCTCAAATCACAAGCAAAATCCCAAAATCCCCAAATTTCACATGTATGATTCCAGTAGAACAATTTGAGAAAATAAGCAAGAGATCATCAACAATATCATTTTATTGTTCAATACCAACCACTAGAGTTTTGAAATCAATAACAAAGGAATATTGAGAAAAAAAATTATTTTTCTTGAAAATTAGGGTTTTCAAGACAAGAAGAAAAGATTTCATGGCTATTCATCCATAGCTTCCATCAAAACATGGTAATCTTTGCAACAGCATCCAGAAATAATGATTTCATAGCATATATATAGGATTGAGAGTGAAAACATACATATATATATGCCCTAGCCTCAATGGACAAGAGTGGAAGAAAACTCTTACCTTCTTCTTTAGTTTTATGTGAAGAACTTGAGATTTGATCCGCTTCAATATGAAAATCCTCATTGATCATGTGTTTTTCTCCTTCTTTCTCCCTCTCTAAGACTTCCTAGGGTTAGAAATGTTGAAATGGGGCTAAAGGAGGTGTCCTTATGTATTTATAGGCTGAGAAGTGATCTCCTTATCATCGAAAACCATCCTTTTCCTCTTATGCAAAACTGGAAATCCCTGTTGATCCGAAAACAACGCTAAGCTAACCACACCAGGCAGAATCACAGTCGCTGAATAGTCCACAGAACTTCTGCTCAATTCAACCCTTCTTGCAAGTCTATCAGCAACACCATTAGCTTCTCTAAAAATATGGACCCTTTGATACTCCAGACTGTCCAGACAAGTTATAATTTGCCTTAAGTAACCCAAACAAGGCCATGGACAAGCACAGTTACCCAGAACTGATTTAACAAGGACCAACGAATCGCATTCAATTTCAAAACTATAACATGTCAAACAATAAGCCAAAACCACTTGTAAACCATCATATAAAGCTCGAATTTTGCAACCATGTTCGAACACTCACCATAATAAAAGGAGGCAGCAATCACCATTTTCCCCATTCATCCCTTACAACTGCTCCCCCACCTGCAATCCCTGGAAGCTCCATTTGTATTAAGCTTTAAACACCCAGTAGCTGGACTCAACCACTTTACCTAAATACATTTCATTAAGACTCTACAAGAAACATCAATTTGCAAAAACTTAGCAAAGCCTTTCCATTTTCATCATCTAAAACTTTTGGTTCAATATTTCTAACTTGGTAGCTGAGTATATTGCATGTTTTCAAAATAATTGAATAAGTAATCTGCTTTCCCTCATTAGCAATCCTTTGACATCTCTACTTCCACAATTGCCAAAAAATAGTCAAAGCCAAGCTCCTAATCAAACCATGGCTCAATGACTTATGCTTAAAAATTCTTTAAAGTCTCTAAAATCTTTCCGAAGGCCCCTCTCCCTGAATAAGCACAAAACCACCCAAAGTAGCAAACTTACACCAAATAAACTTGGCATAAGGACAATCCACAAATAATGCTTTTCATTTTCTACATCCCTAAATCATAAACAAAATATGCTCACAACAGCCACTCCAAACCTCACAATATTTGAATCAAGGGTCAAAGCTTTCCTTAAAATCTTCCATCCAATCAACTGAGCACTTGGGGCAGCAACAGTTTTCCAAAGCAGAATAAACAAATCATTACTCACACCCTGGGATCTCTCAAAAACCAAGCAGATTTTATAGAAAGCTCTCCAGAAGCAGTATGTTGCCAAACCACCCTATCCTCAGCGTTAGTCAAAACCACCTCAGTACTCAAAATCTCCTTACGTAATTGCACAGCTAACCAGTCTTCCACACTAGCTAAAAACTAGTGAACATCAATAAACACATCAAAAATCTTTGGAAAGAAACTTGGACTACTCTCCATTGTACTCAGTAATGCCCCATTACCTGTCCGATTATCACACAAGAAATCATCCCTCATTCCATTCCCAATCAACATCTTAGAAGAAGTAATTACTCTCTCAAAATAAGGTCTCAATAACTCAAAGCTGGCAGCACGAGTCCTGCCCTAACATTGAATCAAACTTTTCCCTTTCAGATATTTGGACTTTAAAAGTTCTGCCAAAAAGAAGATCCCAAAATTAAACTCCAAACTTGCTTCATAGGAAAGACAGGTTGAACCTCTTCAAATTTCCTCAAGCCCAAACCATATTGCTACTTAGGCATAGTAATTTTCCTCCATGCCATTCAATCTCTTTTCCTTGTACTCATCTTATTTGACCACACAAAACTAGCCATTTGAGTATACCAGCCCTCCAACCTTTGTCTAAACAGAGAAAGGAGACCTTCAAAATAGCACAACAATTCTCTACCTTGAATTACTGGACACCCAATATACGTAAATGGGCAACTCTTGATAGGAATTTTAGACAAACTCGACAACACATGCCTTCTATCGCTGGAAATAAACTTTGAACAAATCATAGAGCTTTTTGGCAAGCCAACCCTCCACATAGAACTCCTTTCATACTGCTTCAAGAATTCCATTAAATTCTTTATTGACCTTTTATCCCCCTCAAAAAAATAATGTGTCATCAGCAAATAAGAGGTGACTAACCAGTACTGCCCCTTTGCCAATGTGATAATGCTTGACCATACCCTGCTCAAAAATTCTTCTTAAATCCCTACTAAGCACTTCCTCAACTAAGAAAAAGAGACAAGGAGATAGAGGATCGCCCTGCTTCAATCTCCTGGAAAAAGGAAAAAAACTTCTCCTCACTCCATTCACATTAACCGAAAAATTTGGTTTTCCAAACAATTAGAAATTATTTGGACAAACAATGGAGAAAACCCAAAACAATCCAACACTTTCAACAAAAAATCCCACTCCATCCCGTTATAAGCTTTCATCATATCTAACTTCAACATAATATTTCCTACCTCCACTTTTCTGTTCAGTTCGCCCACCATTAACTGGGCTAAAGATACACAATCCCCATTGTTTCTGCCTTTAACAAATCCATGTTGCTCATTCAAAACTAGCCCAGGCAATAAAATAGATAGTCCAGTAGTCAATAATTTAGTAAACACTTTGTGTAAAAAGTTACAAAGACTTATAGGACAAAAATCAACAAATGTAACTGGATTGATCTTCTTTGAAATTAAAGTAAGTAAAAGTAGCATTCAGAATGTAGCTTCCTCTTAAGAAAAAATTAACAGCCACAAGTAAATCCTCTCCTATAACATCCCATGCCCCTTGAAAGAAACCATGTGAAAGTCCATCCACACCAGGAGCACTATACTTTGACATAGAAAAAAACACTATTTTTACCTCCTCCAAAGAAGCCAGCTTTACTAACTAAACATTTTGAACATTTGAAACCAATTTAGGTATAACTGAAATCAAATCTTCATCAATCTAATGAGATTCAGATGAATACAAAGAAGAAAAAAACTCCTGTGCAACAAATCCAATCTCTCCTCAGACTGAACCCAGATCCCAGCTGAATTCTGATTTCTACAAATTCTATTCCTCACATATTTCCCTTTTGCCAAGGCATGATAAAATTTTTTGCTCCTTTTGCCTTCCACTACCCATCTCAAATTTGCATTTTGTCTCCAATATATTTCCTACAAACGAAGAATATCATCTAACTCACCTTGAACTTTCTCAAGAAGCTGCAAGTTCTCAGCAGAAGCAAGAAGTTCCACCCCCATCTAAGCATTTGATAATTCCATCTATTTCCTTCTAATCTTCTCAAAAATATTTCCAAAGTTTTCCACATTCCATTTCTTCATATGAACTTTCAAATGTCTCAATTTCAAAAATAAATTTTCAATAGGATTTGTTGAAAAAGCACTAGAACATTTTGAAGCTATCAAAGTAAAAAGCCTTTATCTTCTAGCCACATATTTTGGAACTTGAAATAAGAAATTTGAGCCTATTGGTCAATAACTTTAAACAACAAAGGGGAATGGTCGGATTTTGCCCTCGCTAAATGCATAAGCTCAGTTTTCCTCATCAACTCCCCCCATTTGGGATTCAATAAAGCCCTGTTAGTTCTCTGCCACATCCTAGCACTCCCTTGACAATTGTTACACTAGGTAAATCTACTCCCCAAGAAACCCCCGTCCGTAAGACTAGAGTTCAAAAGAAAATCATTGAAATCCCCCACAGCACTCGTAGAAGGATGAGAACCCCCCAGCCTTTCCTCAGAACACAAAATTGAGTTGCAATCACCAACCACCATCCAAGGAAAGTTCGGAGGAATAGACAACTGTAGCAAGTGATCCCATAAAGCCGTCCTTAAAATATAGTCACAAGCATCATAAACAAAAGAAATAATCACCACTTCAGATCCCAAATATGAAACCTCCACAGTAATAGCTTGAGCATACTCAAATAGAACTTTAACTTCCACCTGATCATCATATAGAAGCCAAATGTACTTTTCTGCCAACTTATTCACAGTAAAATTAGGCATACGCACAATAGAAGCAAACCTCTGTATTTTGTTAACACCTTCCTTAGGCTCTTAAATAGTAGCCATAGGTACACCATATATTATCAGTGGGTTCTTCAATCATCTTCTCGGAGCAACCTTGCTTATCCCCCTTATATTCCACATAAGTAAATTCATCATGAAAAACAACACACACCTCTACTGCCATCATGCCTATTATGAAACTCAACAAAAAATCCACCCAACAAAAAGTTTAAATAGGAAATAAAATATAATGAAAATCCCATAGTAATTCATACAATGAAAGTCCATTTCTTTCCATAGTAATAAATTAAACATGAAGAGGCAAACCCTCCTCTCTCGACCTCAGTCTATTTTCCACCTCAGCAGATGAAAATTCGAAAGATACATCATCAGAATCTTCAAAACCTTCACTATCAACTACAACTCTTCTCAACAATTCACTGCTATGTAACGTACTACAAGAATCTAAAAAGTAGCCTTTATCATGAGGTTCTCTATTTCTTACCAAATCATGTTCATCGTCCAAAGCCAAAGAAGATCCTCTAGAAGTGGAAAAATGATGAACATAAAAGGCAAAGTTCCCAAACTGAGAAGCTAGCTTATTCAGATGGCAGAACTCAAAACTATCTTTTCCATCCCTCACATTCCCCTTAATTGTCTCCAACCTAGCCAGAGAACTAGATATTTTAGGAATAACCATCTGATTCACATATTGATTATTATCTTGACCAACGATACTCTTAGATCCCACCTCACTAGAACTCAACACAACTATACTTTGACTAGTTTCAAAAATAGGATTAACCTGATCCACTTGCATTGGAGAATCAATCAAAATATTTTGACCCAAACAAACATTCATTTGGCCAGCTAAAAAATTAGACAAAAATTCCACTCCATTACCATCTCCTTGAGGTGAATAAGTAGACTGCCCCAAAGTAACAATACCCTTATCTTGAGTAACCAAAACATCATTTAACATAACTTGCTCCACCTCCTTCTGCAATCTATCATCCACAAACCCAGACAAAAGGTAGCAAATTCGTTACTCCCCTGCTTCTGCTAAACATGGTCATCCTTACCAGAATGGTTCCCTCTAAGCAAATGAAACCTATTTCCATCAATTTGCACAGGAGAACTCCCCCTTATACTTTGATTCTCCTTAGAAACTACACCTTTTACTACTTGCCATTCCCTGTTATTATTTCCACCAATCAACTCTTCCTAAGCCACTAAAACAACAGATTGTTTACTCTTTGTACTAGCACCTTCTTTACCAACATCTTTATCTCCCTTCTTAGACACATTTATTCTACATTCCAACCCCTACTTTAAACACATTTTACAATACTTCACTCCTTTTTCATACATAATTCTCAGCCATCTATCACTTAAACCCCCAAAATCCAACCAAAATCTAGAAGGATTCTTAGCCAGAAGGTTTACTTCCACACACGCCCTCACAACATTAGGCCTGGATAGTTGTAACGTAGGATTATCTATAACCAACACTCTACTAGTGGGACTCAAGGTGTCCCTAAGACTCTCTGCATTAAAGAGGTGAATGGATAGTCCCGATATAGAGATCCAAACAGGTACAATTGGGGGTTTAATACTTGGGTAAAATTTAGGAAACCATTTGAAAAAATGAAATAGGTACCCCTCAATGTATGTGACGTCCTTCAACCAGGTCTGTAAGTAATCCTCATAGATTGAGAATGAATTAACACATGCCTTGGATCTAACACTCCTATAGTAAAATCTCCATTCGGCAACCATCTAGAGTTAATGAACTCTTTTATCACACCCAATGAAGGTTACCCATATGCACACTTTCCTATCAGAGCTTGATGAAATTGTTTCAAAAGTTCCAGAGTTTCAGAATGGGGGTCTAGTAGATACCTAGTTCACCTTTATCTTAAACAACTCTCTTCACAGGTTTTGGAATAGCCGTAGATGCCAATACATGATTCATATTATCAGGAATAGACATAGAAGGAACAGAAGATTCAATAACCATACCCTTCTCAATCGATGAAAAACTAGTATTTGAAGGAACTTGAGAAATCGAAGGATTTTGAGTGAACGATGGAGTGATTATGGGTATTTGACCAAATGAAGAGATTTGGTTAACCAAAGGAGGCATAACATAAGGGAAACCAAGACTAGATTGACTCATAGAACACAAACCCTCATTTCCACAACCAGATGTCACTTCATTAATTTTTGAAGAACTCACAGATTTTGCAAAAAGGGAAGCAAATTTTCTCTTAATATTAGGAGGTTTTGGTGGGATTGTAGCCATAACTAAGGAAAAGAAGGATTAGAGGAAAATTTTGAAAAAGAAATGAAGAAATTTTGATAAAATCAGTGAAACTTGAAGAAGAAATGAAAAGTTAGAGAGAAGCCAAAGTTTCTCTCTCTAGACTGAGAGTTGTGCCCCTCCCGCGATCATTGACGTAATTTCTTTTGGAAAGATCCCTATGTGTTTAAATATTGTAAAGATCAAATAATAAGGCGTTGTGTAATCAATCATAAAATTGGCCAGGTTATCCCATTGTGTGATTTTGAAGCTTGTAGAGTGCATTTTTGTTCAAAGAAAACTGCTGCAAAAATATTCCAGTGTGGATTTTATTGACACACTCTTTTTAAAGATGTGTATATTTTTTTGTCTAAACTGTGATAGATGTCAAAGAATGGGGAATATTTGAAAAAAAAAATGATACCTTTAAAACCTATGTTGATTGTTGGAACATCGATTTTTCCCCTATCCTTTGGTTATCTTTACATTTTGGTTGATGTTGATTATGTTTCCAAATGGGCAGAGGCAATCCCATGTCGAAAAAATGATTACCACACAGTGGCCAAGTTTAAAAAAAAAAATATTTTGTCAAGATTTTGGATCCCTAGAGCCATTATCAGCGATGGGGGAAAATATTTTTGTAATAAATTTTTTGAAAATCTCATGAAAAAATATTTGATTTCTCGTAAGATATCTGCCCCTTATCATCCCGAGGCAAGTGGACAAGCTGAATTGTCCACTAGGGAGATAAAATATATTTTAGACAAAATAGTATATCTGGACCACAAGAATTGGTATCTAAGACTAACTGATACACTTTGGGCATATCTTACCGCATACAAAACTATTTTGAGATTGTCTCCTTATCGGTTAGTCTACAGTAAACCATTTCACTTGCATGTGGAGTTGGACATCGAGCATATTGGGCAGTCAAAATGATGAACTTTGATATTGACAAAGCAAGTGCATCCCGCAAACTTCAGATTAATGAATTAGAAGAGTTAAAAAATGAAGCATATGAGAATGCTAAGATCACTAAGTTAAAAATGAAAAAATTTAATGATAAGAATATAGTGCATAAATCTTTTGAACCTTCTCAGAAAGTCTTGTTATATAATTCAAGACTCTGTCTATTTCCTACTAAGTTAAGGTCAAGATGGACAGGCCCCTACAAGATGTGAGTTCCATTCAGCTAATGAAACCGGTGTATGTGCTTTGCAAAATTTTTATAAGTATTTGATTGTAAAGAGTAGTACTAATCGTTTGTTGTTTATAGATTAGGTTTTTGCACTATGGATTTGTCCCGTATCCAAATCTTATTAGCAATTGTCTAATATTCTATTTAATTATGTTATACATTGAGGACAATGTGAAATTTAGGTTGGGGAAGGAACAGTCCATATTCGTCTTTGTGACTGGCAAACGTTAAAGAACTATATAGCAATTCAATTTTCAAACAAATTTTCAAAATTTCCAAAAAAGATGGATGCGCAATTGTTTTGGTTTAGTCTGAGTATGCTACGCATTTTTTCAAAAGATATACATTCTTTGATCATAGAAAAAGCAAGGGTCGTTAGAAAGTTAGAAATTGTCGACAGTCAAGCAAAACCCTTGTGCAAAAATAGTTCGTTTGCTAAACGCCAACGAGCGAAACAACTAAGTGGTTGTGTGAGGTGTAGTCATTAATGCATTTGAGAGAATACAATCAGTGTACAAAACCAATTTTGGGTCGAGCGTTAGATCATCTTGACTGGATTAGGTATGGGCAGAGTAAGGAATACCCTAAGACGCCATCTTATTCCAGTCCCATGCTTTGAAGATACATGAGATGCGAGATTAATTGGTTCACTGATAATGTTGATTTAGAAGATTTTGATTAAATTGATCAAGGGATGAATGAATTTTTGATTTGTATAAATGTAAAAATGATTGTTATAATAATTTTTGAATGTTAGTAGTTTAATGTGTTATTTTAGTAGTTAATTGTAGGATTGTTAGTGGATTAGTAGTGTAATTGTGGAAGTAAACTGATGTTTGAAACTATAGGAAAATAAGCTGAAGTAGGAAATCAGTAGAATACCAAGGGATAGCAGCCTGCAGCACAAAGCAAAAACCAACGGATCCTCACCGTCTAGACGGTGGTGGTGACGACCAGGCGGTACTGCCTATATAAAAACCAGACAAGCGTGAAATTGATCAGTTTCTGGTTTCCCTCGCAGTAGAATATGAAAAATAGCAGCCTCATTCTACCTTTTCTCCTAAGATTCTCTTCACCTAGCAGTTTTCTTTCAAATTTCTTCTGATTAAACACTTACCCATACTTTTTTCTAGGTTCTTACCAATCAGAATCCATTAAAAGCAGAAATCAAGAGAGAAATCAATAAAAGATGGATCCAATAATGAGAACAAGAGGTTCTTCGATTCAGGCAATGAGAGGCCAATCTTCGCTACCCGAAGCACCCCCGTGGCAACCCCAGGTACGTAATATCTTCAACATTGTGATGTTTGAAACCATTGAACAACAAGTCTAGTATGACACTTATTTTCTCTCTAAAAATATTATTGCTGAATGACCTGTCATCTACAAAGATTTTGAACTTGTCAGAGTAACATAGAATCTTGCTACGTATGGCTGGTTAAATTATGTTAAGTTTATTGCTCTTGTATATGAATGCCTAGTCCATGAATTTTATAGTAATACAAAAAAAACTGGGCCTAGGGAATTCCGTGTGTTTTTTAGGGGTGTGGCCTTCCAAGTTACACCGGCCAATATTGCAAATTTTTTCCATCCCCTCCTGAGACATCTAAACCCACAATACCCTTACCCTTCATTGCCTAATATGTCTGAGATAGGGATAGAATTGACAGGGAACTCGGCCTATGTATCGTGGAGGCCAAATAAATACATCAAGCAAGGGGATTTGACAGACAAATATAGGATTTTGTACTTGATAACTGTGAACAGTCTATTATCCCAATCCCAGAAAAACCAGATATACACTGAGAGAGCCTATTTCCTATATGATTTTGGGATGAGACATATTATGGATCTGTTAAACTTGATCATGGATCAGATGATGTTCACTATGAAAGTAAAGAAGACCTCACTTCCATATGCTATGATAGTTTATGAGTTGTATAGGAATAAGGGAGTGATCACAGATCCCTCTTGGGCAAGGGTAGATCACTTTGCACCGTTAGAGAAGACATCTTTGAGAAAAGCCATGGAGGCCCACCTGAGGAGCAGCGAGAGGTACTAATTAGTAGTTAAAATTAGCAACTTACAGTGCCTTTTTTAAGACTAATTATGCTTTGATAGAGTTTCAATAATGACATTTCAGGAGAAAAATTGTGCAAGGGTCTAAAGTCAATAGGATACCAAACTTTCATGCAACATCCACATGTTATGGAAGAAAATTGGAGAAGTTAAAAAAATGGCATGAACGTTCGAATGCCAATCCATGTTCGAACGTTCTCTTAAATTATTTAAGGACTAGACTACTGTAGTGATGATACATGGCGTGTTGTAGCTAAGGAGAAAAACAAAGAGGTTCTTGAGTACCACGTTCGAATGCCAATCCACGTTCAAATGTAGGCTTGAATTATTTGAGGGTCCCCTCCGAAGAGTGCTAGGGTAAAGTTTTTGGTGCCGTTGTCGAGGAACCAAAAAGTGTTTTAAGGTAAAAAGGTAAAAAGACCTTCATTTGTGTATATATTTTTGATTTATTGTGTATAATTTAATTTTATGTTTGAGAACGATCCTCACTTTCAAAATTTGTCGGCAGAATCTATTGGATCTATCAATCAATGTGAACCATCTTCATCTCAATCTAAAGCAGAATCTTTTCACAATAGTATGGAAAATAATGAGAGACAAGGGGAAGTTCCTGAGAAAGAGGGAGAAGTTCTTAACATTCAAACT